AATTACAGAAAAATATGAAAGGATATAATATAGAATTTAAATGGTATTGAATCTATTTTTCTTTTATCAGAAGCTCCAATTTTCTTGAAAAATGTAAAGAAACAATATTATTAAAAAAATGGATATCTATTTAAAAGATTGTATTAGTGAATTTGTATGACATCGACATTACTCAGCAAAAAGAAAGCAAAATACATGTTCAAATCTTCGTACGAATATTTGTATAATTTATTTTTCTGAACTAAGTACTTAACTCAGTGGACCAAATAATTGGTAAAGATTTCAAATTATTTGGCTTTATTTTGTACCATATAGAAAATGAGTGGAGTATGGGTTAAGGTTTAGGTAGAATGTATATATTTCTTTAGAAATCACTTCATGGCTGTTTTGTAACTCTAAAAGTTTCATAGCCACCACCTTTTTGAATTTAGAAATATAATACAGTTGAATATTTGAGGTATAATAAGAAGAAATTATCTTCTTCTTTAAGGAAAATTAGTGAAAACTCTTACGCAAACCAAAAATTTCTGAAAGTCAATATCGATATTTTAAATTCAAAAACAACATGTCTTGGTGTATTAAATGTAATACAAATGACAATATTTGTACAGATTGATTGATATTTTTTAGTTAATTATAATATGTTATACAATGTATGAGCTAGAAAGTTTTCACCAATTTGTGAAAAAAAAAACCAAATTTAAATTAGGTCTTCGTGAGTTCATTAGTTTTTGTGTCTTTTAGAAATTTAGCCAAAAGTTATCTATCTATTAGGTAACTTATATCATTATTATTAATGAATATAGCTAGGTAATATAAAAACGAATGCGACGAAAAATGCGCCAACAACTTGTATATTATATATTTGCCTTAAAACCCTGTTATACGAAGTACAACTAAATTACAAAATAAGTCCGAAAACGGAACCCAGTTTGAATGTTTTAAAATATCAAATTTTGCAAGTTAAAATATTAAGTTAATTATATAATTTTAGTAAACATGTACAACATATAATGACTTGACCTGTTTTTTTCCTAGTTAACCTTAACGAATTATGCTTTTGGATAACTTCTGCAAGTTAGTTTATACCCGTCAAAGCTAAATTAGGTTTTACACTTTTTCTATTTCTTATCAATTAAATTTTACTTGGTTTGCATAATTTATGTTTACCATAAATACATACAGTTAATACAATTATATTAAATGTAAACAAAAATTATAAGTGCTTCATGTCATTATAATGGACGCGCAAGACGTGCATGTATAAACTTAAGTTTATAACTAAATAGACTAATACAGTCATGATCGATTGTTATAACGAACTGTGTGCCTATGACAATAATAATTTCGTAATTTATGGTTTCGGTTTATATATTTATACCTATAAGCACATACTACGTATATAGTTGTAATTCAGTTTATGTCTTTAATTTACGTACTGAAAATAAAATAATATGACATGATGTTACACTTTTTTTGATTAACTATACTCATAATAACGAACAACAAATGTCATGCATATTTTAGTACATAACCGCCATAAACAATGAACATTGTCCAAATATACTAATTTAAATTTTATCTGTGGTTTTTACCAGTCTTATCATATTATTGCACTCGTACAGTTACACCTTTTTTCAAATAAATGTTCTTTACCTAGGTGTGTAAGTGTAATGCAGTGAGATACATTTTTAAACAGCTCTTGTGAAATTTGCCCTTTGGTGAAGTATTCAAATCACATCGTGTCTCGAGACAATTTTCAGTTTTCACTTTGGATACTAAGTAATAACCAACTAACACGAACATTCAAACGACATCAGATGTCGCAATCTATCGCTATATGTTTCTGAGAAGAAAATAATGATACTACATAACGGTGAGCTAGGGGCATTCCAGTAAAGTTAATTACGGAGACGATGAAACTGGGACATTTTTGTCAACGAAAAGGTTTTAACAAATGTTCGAAGCCACAGAGACAATAGGCTTTCAGGAGTACGGCGCAGCTTTTGTTCCCAACGACAAAGCCCATCATGCAACCAAAAAGCTTGTCTCTCTCGCTGTCCTCTAATATTTCACTTTTTTATGTTTCATTTTAAAAACTTTAAACTGCTGGATTATTAAAAAAAAAAAAAACTCGCAACTAATTCCGCCTTGGTTTATAGAGTTTTCTGTTATTCTACGTGTACCTACATATTGTTATGTAGCGTCACAGCGTTATTTAAAGATTGTTTATATTGTAAACACAAAGCAATATTGTCAATTATTGTTCTGAAATTTTGCTATTTTATCAATATGAGAGAAAATAAATTAATATATGTAATTTAATGGTACTGTTCTACACAAATACAGAAACATGTTCATAATATGGAATAAAATTGATTTCAACTTAATTATATAGCTGCGGAGATTTAGTTCAGAGACCTACCTAAGGTATATCAGGTTTAAAAATACTTGAGATTTTCTGTACCTACTACCTACTTGAGTACCTAGTGTCCTGTGGTGATACAAATTTCTGTTTTTCATATGAAAATACCCCTTTTTTACTATTATAAAAATGTTGATGTAGGTTTCTAATTCAAAATCTTAACGACTAGTTGTGCAGTTATTAAAATGTTTATGCTAAGAATAATAGTCCTTAAAAATAGTTGTTTTATTGTACCGAGTGTTTATTATACTTTGACCATACTTTTACAAATTAAAATTTTAATAGATTAATATACTTAAATATTTTAATCACTATCATCTAATATCTTCCATTGTCGTAGATCTACTATTCTTAGTGCAAAAAGTTGGATAAGTCAAAATCTATTAGTTCAAATTTTGATTTTGAAACGTTAACAATTTCAGAAAAATTATCTGCTAAGTAAATTTAAATTGAAAGGGAAGTGTGCTCATTCGAAAAATATAAGTTTATGTCTCCAAAGAACACTTCTTGTAGTAGGCAAAAAAAAACAAAAAAAAATTAAAATATTATTGCCTTCAATTTAATTCCAAAAATCAGATTATGAATGACATTGTTGAAGAAAAAAAGGCGAGCATGTTAGGAGAATAACCCTGCATAACAATGAGTCTTGTATAACATAATATTTTAAGTGTTGTGCATACATTTTCCTTAATTTGAATGTTACACAAAATATCTCGGAATATATTTCGACAAAAAACTAAAATAGGTCCATCATACTCATACCATCAAAATTAAACTTAAATCTCGTCTTCGTGCCCTTAAATTTGTCTTTAACGCAAAATCAAAACGTACTCTTCGCACTAAACTAAACTTATACAAAACCCTCCTTAAGCCCATTTGAATGTACGGATTGCATTCAAGTATGAGTTTTGCAAAAAAATCATATATAAGCAAAATTCAAATAACCCAAAATAAAATGTTTCGTTTAATAACAAAAGCTCCTTTATATGTGTCAAATCAAACTCTCACTCAGACCTAAAAATGAACACCATTATACCGCTATCAAATCCTGCACTCGTTATTATCACAACCATCTTCTTGACCATCCTAATATCCTAGCTAAGAATCTTACCAATCCAATGCCTAGTACCCCCCCCCCCTCGGCTGCTTCTCCACCATGTCTTCTAGCAGAAATAATAATTTCTAATACTTAATCTTTTTATACATAACTTGTATAGATTGCTTAATTCAAATGAAGTACAACAAATAAAATAAAATAAAATAAAAAACGTTACACAAATTCGATGGCTAAGGTTTTTATTACACAAAGTGAAACTATTGAAAAATCAAAAAATATACTCTACAGTCTTTTTGATCTCTACCTTATAAAAATCTTAATATTTGTGGATTATTCGGTCTAATCGATAAAAACTGTTTATACTGAAAAAATAAATATAATCAATTATTCAATCTACTTAAAATAAATTATAATTTATTATTATCTGTATTATAATATATTCACTATATCATTTTTTTGTGTTATTATACTATAACAATTAATTTAATGCATTTATTATTGAAATAGATTTAATTAATTTTCATAATACTACAGAGTACGATATACATTTATAATACCTAACCAACAAAAATCTACAAGAATCTAGGAATTACCACTACCTAATTGATTATAAAGTAATTCATTTCATCGTATTAATTTTGTCTATTACCTATAGATTCAAAATATTTTGTCATTGTTGCTGATTAATTATGAAATCAATGTAATTTATTGTTTAAAATTAAATATTTTGGGTGAACCAAAATTAATTTTTTTTTCTGTTAGAATTAAAAGAAAAATGTATATAAAAACGTTTTACTTTTTTTTTACATAGACTATAAACTATAAAATTAAAAATATTTATTACTCTAATAAATAAAATACCGTAAAACGTTGTTGAGATAAGTGCCTACATTGTATTTTTAAAATTGTATTGTAATTTTTTTGTTGCTGAAAATGTTACATCGAAACAAAAAACCTGTGTGAGTTTCTATAGATTAACATATTTTTCAACAATAACTATAATTTAATTTGATGTTTAACAATCACAATTTATGTATAACTACCTATACGTATATATATATAAATATTTTTTGTATAAACAACGCTATTTTTCAATTTAAACCTACGATAAAAATGTATGAAATGCACAATTTTATTGAGTTTTCCCCAGAGTTTTCCCTTATAACCGAATTATATTAAATTTTTTCGATATTCTAACGTTGTCATGTACATAAAATAAATACATTTAATTTAAACCACACAATGTTAAATAATATTATGCGACACTATATCGGTGTTGGTATAAAATATAAATTATATGGTTTGAAGTTTGTAATTTACATAAATTTATATAAATTGTTTGTGAATTGAAACATGTAATTAATTATTCAATACCTGCATTCAATATTTCCGCATAATATATACACCACATGGTGTCCAATAAATGTTCGCATGCTGCGATCAACGAATAACATACTAGAAAAGTTATAAACTTCCGGTCGGTGTAAACCAAATATGTGATTGTATTTTTCTTTACAGATATGTGGCCGAAATTTGCATTTCTCGGACTTGTGATCATCCGGTTAATGGTGTCTGCGAATCCGGATGCAAAACGGCTGTACGACGATCTTTTGTCGAGTTATAACAAGCTTGTCAGACCAGTGGTGAACACCAGTGATGTTCTCCGTGTGTCTATAAAGCTAAAACTGTCGCAGCTCATCGATGTGGTACGTAACTAAAATAATGTTATATGTTTGAAAATTCAGCTTTCTTACTATAGCGAAGTCAGTGTGAATATTGATTGACAAACTCACTATCGTTATTATTTTTTTTTTTTAGTAAATTAAGCAACTTTATTAAGGTAATTAATAACATTATTATTTTCATTAATTAAAATTTCCCTTTTATTATACACAAACTTTAATATCTATTGGCATCTTTCAACTCAAAATTAAATTTATTATGCAGGAAAAAAGATTAAATAAATAATAGAAAATGGTCTATAAAAAAAAGTATTACTTAATCATTTTTTTTACCAAACTTTTGTAAAAAAAAACTACAAGGTTTGCATACAACCAAAAACAACCTATAAATCATCTACATGTGACACTTAAATTTATATATTTTGTAAAAAGTAAAGACAAAACAAAAATACAAAAATTGTAATTTAAATATTTACTTAAAAGTAGTTACTTATACATTATTATAGCAATTATGAGTATCAGAACATGCTAACTATACATTTGTGTTTAAAAAAGTAGAACGTAATTTTGTTACTATCACTGCAAATTAAATAATATAAATAATTTATAATATTTTTAAAATAGAATATCCTAGATGAATATATGTCTGTATGATTGGTTATTAAATATTATGAACGAGTAGTTAAGACCATTTAATGTGTATTTAATATGTATGTACCTAGCCTAGTTCATGTCATTATTATCAGTATCGATATTTAATTTATGTAAAGAATATATGATTCATAATGATGAAAATATTTAAAAATAGAAATAACGTACAATTTATTGGTACCTATATTAAGTAAGTTATTATGCATGAAATGTAATATAATAATATATATAGTGTTAGTACAGGACGTCTAGTAAATTAATAATTTCGGACGAAATATTGTAAAATATGAATTTTTGAGACATAAAAAACGAATTTATAAAATTCCACGGTATGAAAAAATATTAAATATTTGTCAAAATATAGAATTATTTTCACTTTCTTAAAAAATATATGTGTGTACTTATTTTATCATAATAATTAAACATTGTTATTAAAATTATGAATTACTTAACTTTGATATGATTGCTACACATGTTGATCGTTTATTTTGTTCACATTTGATTCAGTTACGACAATGAACTGTTAGACATTGATATGGTTGTGGTGTTATATTGGCTTATGCGATTCAGAGCATAATGAGAGAAACTCTACTTGTCTTATGTTGTGCGATACTCCTTTTGAAGAATTCGACAGGCGATTGCTTTCAGTGATAATGGAAATGCTGCAAGTCTATGGAGCTTTTCAAACGATCAATAAATAATGGACCACGAGTGTGGTTGATGCTGGAAACTAAAGAAATAGACAAATTTGATCAGGATTTGGTGTTAGGGGGGAGGAAATAAAAGGATAGTTGCGTATTCTCCAGTGGGTTTTTATCGGACACGAAGTACGTAGGAAAAGGGGGCTGTATAGATTTTTTTTCTGTTTCTTTTTTATGGTAGGTGGTAACATTTTTTTTTTTCGTAAAAGAAGAGCTCGTAAAACGCACTACCCGACATATTTTATGGTTCAAAGTAATGAAAACCTCTTTTAATATGCGGCAGGAACTATATAGTATATAGTATATGGAAATTGAAAACTTTAAACATCTTCTATTGTTAGTACCTACATCCATTGGCCCATCCTTTACCTATCACAATCATTCGTCGAGCACAGAGAATTATGAAATATTATATTGTTTGAGTGACAATTTAACAAACGAAGAGGGGGAAAGTATGTAACCGATCTGCTGTACAATAAGAGTCCAGCGTAAGGCTTTATTGAGTGGGCCACTGTAATAGATAAGTTCAAAATGTAATTCAATAATCAATGCATACGAAAAACAATTCAACTATCTGTCTATTAGCCTATCATCATGTAAATAAATTGCTTTTTCTTATATAATTACCAATAGTATGTACACTTAATTGTCGAGATTAATTGTAAATTACAAAATTTCAATAAAAAAAAAAATTGTTTTATCACACAACTGTATAATTTAAATGTGAGTATTATGTATTATAGGTATACAATGTAGTACATTTTATTACAACCGAGGAACTAGCTTTGCTGTATAGTACTTAGTAGAATTTAAATATACCTTGTCATAGTTACTGTAACGTGACAGGTGCTTAATATTTAAATTTGAATTCAATGTTCGTGTTATAAACTGTTATTAATTCAAATTATTATGAATATTTTTTTGAACTTATTTTTTGTCGAAAACGTAGCATAATATAATTTTCAACTTATAATACCAACGTAACGTATCATAGCTTGGTGTACATAGATTCATGATATTAGTGCCTTAAAAAATCAGTATAAATATTTTTTAAAACCTCAATGAGTCTACAAATTAATAATAAACATAATGACGATAAGCTCCAAGATCCTACGATTACATCACACGAAAAATGTTAAATTGATATTTGAACTTCAATTATGTATAAATGTATTTGAATTTCTATGTACCTACGTGAATTTCAGTAAGAACTTAGGTTGGGTCTTTTTACATTTCATTTACTGTCGTTCATAGCCGATATTTATAAAAATGTTATCAAAAAATATATACTAAAAAAACAGTAGTTATAATATTGTAATATTTGAAGTGCTTCCACGTAAATACCTCAAAAAGTGCTTCAATATTTAAATTTTAAAATAATATTATATAGGTAATGTCCAGAAAATATCAATCTAAATACGCATGTGTTGTACAATCGTTACAAATCCCTACAGTTATTCTGAATTATAAGACTGAAACAAGTCGTCTATTTGTTTCAAAGATCATTCTTCGATGATAGATAATATAATACAATTGAAAAATACATCATTGTAAAACCAATGCATACACCGTTCCCCTCTGGGTTTGAAATGATGAGTAGGTACTCAATAATCCAACTTGTGTAAAAAGTAATTTATTATTCTTTGCAAATAAAACGTAAAAACTATTTTATTGTAGATCTTTAATACAAGAAGAAATGTATCTGATTACGATTATATTACGATTGGGTATTAATTTGTATACATTCTTAAAACTGGAAATAATCAAAGTTTTGTCCAATAATATCATTATTAAATAAGTCAATATTTTCCATTTAAATAATTCACATTTACGTGTTAAGAAGTTCCATCGGTGGATGGCAACTTCCCACAAACCCCCTGTCCGAAATATTATAAATTTTGTTTTATTTAATTAACTTAATTAATTTTATATACATTCTAGTATTTCTATAAATTCAAACATTGTAAAACAATTACTCCATAGACTGTACAACTGTTATATTTAAAAAAAAAATAATTCATCGACTCTTAAAGTAGTTAACATTTAAATATTTAAAAAATAAGATAATATATTTAAGTTTTATTTTAATTTGTCTCGAAAAAGTTATTGCCATCGGTATTTTTATTTTAGTTCGTGATAATATATACTTATACAATGGTATCTAACCTATATAACGATATATATTTTATTTTTTAATTGGAACCTATAATTTCATTGTTAACATTTACATTACAATTGTTTTCTGCAGTTTATGAAGTACATTATTAAGAAAATTGTTAGGTACTTAATTATCTTTCTTATAAGTCATTATTTGAAAAATAAGGTAGTATAAAAATAAATTAGTAATTCAGTACCTCTTAAATATTCTTCTTGTCTAATATTAGAATTTTATAAACTCAATTATATGTTGTACCTCCATTTACATAATATAAGTACATACCAATTAGTATGTAATATATAATGCTAGGGAACTTTAGGTGAGTAAATTTATATGGTTATTACAATAAGCTTATTGAATTTACTAAAGTCAAAATGATATGCTTGTAACGGTTAAATGTGAATATAGGCGGTATTAGAAAATATTATATTGTTGATCGTAAACCACTGTCAGCCTAGAACTCATAGAATTATTTCTTAGAAGTTTACTTGGATATTAATACTATACATAACAACATAAATGCAGTTAATTGTTTAAATTACGATACCAATAGCTTGTTTAGAGAGGGAAATATTTTGGAGAATACAGTAATAGGTAATATTGCATAATAAGCATGAGATAATTCTATAAATATACTAGGAAAAAATAGGTACAGGACAAGTACGTGATTCTAAAATTTGACCTTTCTTACTTATTTATTTGTTGGTAAAACTAACTTTAATTGTTTTTGTAACGAAACAGAATACATTAAATAATATTAACATATTACGTTTGTATTAATGTTGAAGTAAAATATCGAATTTCGAACGTCGGTTTTTTTTATAAATATTACTATTAAATGTTTAGATATAAATTAGAGTAATTATAACTCCACTATATTATGCATAAATCGTCATAGAAAATTCAATTAATAATACGTTTTTTAAGGAATTCATGTGTTCGAAATTTCAAATATCGATCTTGAATATCATAGGGTGTAATACGATTTAGCGTTATATGTTTTTACATAAATGAAAAATTATTTTTTCAACATTTAGTAAAACACTGAAATGCTTAATTATGATAAAAATACATATTATTATCAAAGTCGCATTATTTGCGATAAAAGTTATAATTTAAAATTCTAACAAAACTTTTTTAATAATCTAAAGAAATTATAAATATTTATTAGTGTAAAAATATTCATGAAAAATCGTGTAAAATCTTAAAAGTTTTTAAATACAACAGAATGTATTAATTTCACTACGTTATTACGATTAATATTTATTTTTAGATTTATGATGGTTTAAAATTTTATCGTAAACTTAACATTAGACGCAAAGTCTTGTTTATAACGGCTCGAAGCTTGTACACTATATAATATCTCAATATGGTAACTGTACCATGATAATAATATATATATTTAATTAATGTTGAAAATCAATATTTAGAATATAGCTATATTAATGCGATCATCAACACATTCAAATGTGTTCATTTGAATAACAATACTCTAATCGTATTCCGATTTGGTT